TGTCGCGCCACGCTGTACAAACCGCCTCGACGCGATTGTCGCCACAGGGCCCAACTGCTTGGCGCTATGCACGGTCAGTGCAGTACAGTCGCATGTCCGTCGACCTCACCATCGTCATCACGAACAAGCCTGCTTACTGTTGTCATAGTTTTCTCGTCAGGAGAATCATCACAACGGCTGAGCAGAGCTACGAGTAGCCTTCAAAACGCACCGCAAACTGCTGAATGACTTGCCCGCCACCAACACATGTTCACCGCGGACGCAGCAGCTTCTGTTTCGAGTGGGTGCGGACCCGCACTGCACCCGCCAAGTCAATGGGAATGCCGCCCCCAACATGCAGTTCCCTGGTGTTCGAAGCGGAAAATAAAACCGAAAGGATCACGCTTGGCACATTGGGACCACCGAGGTTTCGAACCTTCCCACAGCAAGATCAACGAACCTGACGAAGCTTCTGGAACTTAATATTTTGGCAAGTTGTATCAACGCTTTGCGGCCGTAGCATAGTCCTCTAAACATCTTGATGCATCGCCTGATTCGTCATCGCACATTTCGCGATTGTTTTTGAATTGCGCGGAGCTTGCGACCCAACAGCCGTGGCCCTTGCCCAAATAACACACACTCGGCAAGTTCATTTTTCCGTATGCTTTTGTCACCTGCAGGAAGCTACTGGGCCATGTTTTGGCGAAGTGAAGGGGGCTGTGCGTCTCGCATTTCCGAGCACGGGCTTGGCATCGACAGGCTGAATGGACACCGCCAAGCGCGACCACCGACGTCGTCGCGTCTTCCTGTCGATGGGATGGGGCATCCTCTTTCGACTGCAGGCTCCCACATCCTTAGTTCCTTGTGCAGAGGCAAGCAACAACTTGATGCTTTGAAGTGTTGCCCATCACATTGCATATGGCCAACCGGCACATTTCAGATCCTGCGCATGCAACGCGATGATGCAAATGTTTGGCAAGTTGTTAAGGTTGATGTGTCACGCCACGCATGACCGTAATCGAGCACGGAATATCTGTTTACGCGAGCAAGCATGTAAGCAAGCAAGCGAGCAAGTAAGCCAGCAAGCAAGCAAGCAGAGGCCGTTGCCACTTGCACCAAACTTTGCGGCCAAGCTATGCCAAGCTTGAACATTCCCCGGCTGCTTTCTGCATGTCATCTTGCCAGGCTGATGAGGGTGTACACCCACGAGCGGGGTAGGGGTGAGGTACCTGCTGAAGCAATCTGCAATTGGAAATTTCGTTTACAAGCAGTTCTGCGGTCCCTGTGCAACGCTGTGCTTACAGAGGCCGGCGTCCTTGTGTGCATGCCCGAAGCTGCAGCAACGGCCTACGCAAATCAGCCAGAGGCGCCACATGGAAGACTATGCATGAATACTTACTAAAACAAGCTTGTTGGACTGAAGATTGGCGGCCGAGACAGCGTCATGGACGGCTTGTAGTCGCTGTATGCTACTGCAACAAGGGGTGGCCAAGGGTGGAGGAAACCGGTCGCGACCTTGCCAGCGAACTCGGAGGATCTCGGAGGGCTGGCTTGCTTGGCCAGCATGTGGGCCCAGCAGTGTGACTTGTTGGGTTCGGTCGCCTTTCGCGCAGCATATATAGCACCTCAAGGCCCGGCGCTTCCGAGTCGAAGGCTTCGTGCGTGCCGTGCTCGGTGCGCTTCCGTCAAACGGCGGAGTCGCGAGCTCCGCACACGCTGCGATGATCGTGATATGTATGCAGCAAACTCTTCAGAAAACTTGACAAGAATTTCCCGCTCTATGCAAAAAGCCCAGAACGTGCAACCCTCCCGAAGCTCGGTAGAGGGGCACTGAGACGGACGTGACTCTCAAGCTAGTGGATCTCCGATGAGACTTTTTCTTGCCAGTCCGCACCAGCAAGCATCATGTCGATGCAAAACTGCCTTTGTAGGCAACGCATCGTCTGAAAAGCGACTGAGACTGCAAGCCCAAGTCGCAGCTACCTCCGATGATTCTCTATATGCGGACATATGAAAATGTGAATGGATACTTGACTAACACAGAAGGGATCTTTCAACACATATTTGCATTCGCAGTGTACAGTATAAGCTAAACTCTGAATAACTGGCTCAAAACCCTGCTGGTTTCATTGACAAGCTCATCTTGCCGCTGTCCGTGTCAACAGATTCGATGCGCACTTGCACCTCCTGACCTTCCGAAAGCTCGTCTTCAACCTCGGTGCAGAAAGACGACCTATCCAACACACCGCGCCTAGCCTGCAAAACAACTGACCACAACTGAGGCCTCCGCACTCTCTACGAATCCATCCCTGATTTGAGTGATGTGGACAAGCCCATCTGCAGACACGTCGTTGGCTGTGACGGTGACGAAGGCACCGAAGGGTGCCAATCTAGCAACCTTCCCGGTCAGCCACTCATCTTGAGAAACGCCCTCAAAGGCAGACAGATCAGCAGGTTGACGGAAGCCCCCTCCGCCACCACCGCCGCCGAACCCGGCACGCATGGAGAGGCTCATCCTACCGGCATCTAGATCTACTGACTGCACACGGACCTGAACCTCCTGACCGACAGAAAGCTCATCATCAACGTTCTCGACGAATCCGTCCTTTATCTGTGACACGTGCACGAGGCCATCTGCAGATGCACCCCCTTCAAGCGTGACCGTCACGAAAGCGCCGAATGGAGCTGTGCGCGCGACTACCCCTTTCTGGAAGTCATCTGGGGAAAGATCCGTGAACGGAGTGAGGTCCGCAGGAGCACGGCGCCCCCCTTCATCAGTCATACCCTCAACCATGGTGAGGCCGTACTTTCCATCATCTCGCTTTCCGCTGATCCATACATCGACTTGCTGCCCTTCTGAAACAAAATCGTAGACATTGTCGATCCTATCCCTGGACATTCTAGAAATGTGGAGCAAGCCATCCGACTCCGAGCCGATGTCAACGAAGGCACCGAAGTCCAGGACGGAACGGACGGTTCCCGAATATTTCTGGCCGACCTCGAGCTTCTCGAAGGGGATCGGAGGATATTTCATGTCTTGCGGCTGCAGATCTGAGGTTTCTGGACCACCGTCGGGATCCAACCACTTCACGGTGAAGCTACCGTCGTCATTACTCTTGGTAACCTCACCTGGGTACCACATGCCATCATCGGGAAAGACAGCTTCGACGGCCTCGCCCACCTTGTAGTCTTTGTAAATGATGATCTTCTTGATGCTGGCTGCTTCTAAGTTGTGGCTCTCCGGACCACCATCAGGATCTTCCCACTTCACGGTGTAGGTGCCATCACTGTTCACTTTGTCTACAACGCCCGGATACCATTGCTCATCGTCTGGGTACAAACCTTCAACGGGATCACCGACTGCTATGGCAGAGTCATCTTCGCCTCCCCTCGCCCTGCAGCGCACGTCTCGGCTGCCGGTCAGCTGAGCAAGCTTGTGCTGTCTCAAAAGACTTCGGCTAATGGATCCAGGTACAAAGGCTGGAGCGAAGAAGCAAACTAAAGCCAAGAGAACAGGCAAGGGCGCACGGACACGCCTGCCAGGAACTGAGCGCATGACTTGGCGCATGGCAGGGGCTGCAGTCACCACGTGTGTGCCGTTTCTACAAAACTGTGCCAAAATGCTAAGAAGAAGGGCGTGTGAGTGCACATCTTCACACTCCCCCACAGCCCCACGATTCATGAACTGCACAAGGCACGGTCGGCCAGCTCCTTTTCCGCATCGCCGAGCTTTTCAGTCGCTCCACTTGCCATGCTGGGCACCACGATCCCAAAATTGCTGCTCGTGCCAGGTTCACCTCAGGGAGGCCGGTGAGAGGTACGGACAGTCACAGAGGTGGCACAATCCAACCGCCTTCACTCACAGCTGGCGTCTGGAGCTCCTCAACGCCATGCGCGTAGTTGCAGGTACTGCCCCGGTGGCACACGCCCTGGCAGCGATTGGTTTTCCACAGCTCGCTATCAATCAACAACCGTCCCACGGCTGAAAGCTCGCCACTCACGGACACAATTGTACACGCCAATCACGTGTAACACACGTGCAACATGGACACATCCTGACACTGCGACTTTATTTTCCCAACGAAACTTTCG